TACCAATAAAAACCCGTGTCTTAGTCACCAATGCAAGTGACAATATATTGCCACGTAACCGGGGTTTGCGTGACTAATAAGACGGGTTTTGGATTTGGTGGTCGAATTTATTGGACCTTTATACAACTGGTTACAAAAGTTCATAAATCACTATCTGACACTGCTATCTTCTTCCGACTGGACACGGACTCCCAACTGAACTGTCAGTTATTGTTGTCTTCTCGTTATATAGCCTGGGGCCGGACCACATCACAGAAAACACATCCGTTGCATAGCACTGAATGTCCTCTATTGTCGAGCGCTTGTGTCACGGAAACGTGTCTGCCGACTCGTTTCCTAGCAATGGGTCTACACATGTAACAATATTATAAACAAAGCTGGGAGTGTGGACTGGCTTGGGATAGGATCACTGGCGGGGAACATGGTAATGAACTTTCAGGTTTCATAAAAGGAGGAGAATATCTTCGCTAGATCATTGCCTCGGGGCTATTAGCTTTTGTAGACTGGTTCTTTTCCAAGGCGGTACTTACAAATGCGATAATTAAACACGATTTCAACTGTCTATATTTATCTCACCTCGCATGGCAATGATCCTGTGGTTAACTGAAGGGGACTGAGGGGGCGGTCTAACGCTAAGAGAACACTTGGAGCACGGCGCTGTGTGTGCAGTCTGTAGCGTCGAATGGTAGGATGAACTGGAAAGGATTCTGGAAGGAAGTGGCCGTGGCTTAATCGAAGTACTAACCCAGCATCTGCCTGAAGGAGCAGTCAAGATATCCAGTCTCTCGGCCGAGATTGGAACCGAGCACATTCCGAATAAAAGTCTAGAACGTTACCGCTGCGCCCACCCGCTAGGGATCACGATATCAAATCCTGGCTAGGCTATTGATGTTTTTGTATTTTTTTCATCATCAATTGACTTGACTACCCATCGTATTACTTGAACATTCACGTTGCATAACAGCAGCGAATTTCTTTATCAGATATAGAATAATTATCAACAATTCGAGGGACGACTCAGAACAAAGGGGCCCGTCTGTTCAACTAAATACAGTGGACGCCGTCTACTGTAACAACGGATAATGTTATAATTCGTGAGATGTTATCACATTTACGAAGTTCTGATCAGACGTACTCGTACACAAATACATAGGAGAAACGACGTTTATTGTGATCAGCGCTTGGATTTTTGTTACCGCTTTTTGGCCTTGATGCATGTGCATTGGAAATGATTACGCAACACCTCGATTTGTTCTTGAGCTCCGACGTAAACATGAACGTTTTATTAATGACCTCAGAAAAGTCAACCGACAAATACCTTTAAAATAATTTTTCTAATTCTTAATTTTAATATTGTCTTTATTTGTAGTTAATTGTGTGGTATATGCATTTCTGGAAATATAATGAGTTTCATTTTTACTGGTGGCTTTCTCGAACAAATAGTGGACATTGATCTTATACAAATTATATTACTTGATAATAACGTTCTCTTTCTGTACCCTACCACCTTTCTACGTAAACATTTCCGCTCTGCATCTATAAACAACATTGAAAAACTGCATTCTTCTTCTATCGGTTATTGCTATCAATTAAGCTGTGTCACGAAGTGATCACAACAAGCGCCGTCCACTGTATATGCAAGTGACGTATTTAATCGGTTTATTTCTGAACACACTGTTTGACTGAAACTGTTAGTTAAACATAAGAAGCGCGTTTACAATGATGATACAGTAACGCACATAAAAACAGATTAGAAAGTCAGTCATTCAGTTCAAATAGAATTCACTACGCAGTTTTACGCTTCATGCGTGCGAACACCTGCCTCGGAGAGTGCGTATTCATGCATGCCAAGTCACATGCGTGTGAACAATCTGTCCGAAGCTTGGGGGATCCCCTTCCGGGTGAAAACAGAATAAAACGCGACTGAGTGTGAACTCCTTTGAGAGGTTCGCGTTTGATCTTGTTAAATATAGCCCTACATTTCGGTTGCTTCTCTGCAGACAAAAAGAAAAGCACGAGTCTGAATAAAAGCGATTAGCCTGGCTGTCACGCATGAAAATTAGACACATCGGAATAGGGGCCGCCACTTTTGCAGTGCAAAGAAACTGTCAGTGACCCCTTTCAAGCTGCGGACCAATCACGGAAACAGGATCATAAAACGTAACTTCTCTCTCCTTCTATGGCACTATAGACCAATGAGGTTCAAGGCCTTCCGTATTTCTGTTTACAGATATTTTGTAGGCTCCCTGGGCGTAGGATCGGCCTGTGACAAAGCATACAAAAGAACACATATACAGAAAATAAACAGATATATAATCACGTTCTGGAATTCGACTTGAACCAACGATACCAGTGGTCGCACGGTAGAGGACAACACGCCCCATTAGCACGCGACCAATGTGCTCGGCTTAAAATGTATTTTTTTTTAATTCGCTTAGTGGGGGTTGGAGTCCAACTGGGTCCACTCGGCATGGCGGCCACTGATTGGCCTATTGTAGCCTCCCCTGGGTGATTATGATGGAGAATTTGGTGGAATGAAGATTGGTAGGAGAAACCGAAGTACTAGGAGAAAACACGCCCCAGCTCCACTTGACCAGACCCGGGATCGAACCCGAGCCGCCGCGGTGGGAAGCCAGAGACTAACTGCTTTAGCTATGGTGCGGCCGGCTTAATTGTCCGAGGCTGAGGATTAGTAAGGCTGAAAACGACAATATTCAAATGGATTATTTGTGACTTTATATCCGTCGTTGGTATACACTGTGGGTGCAGGCGGGCGCGCCAATGAAGAACTGGGAATACTTCGACGCCGAGACCGCTAGGAGATGATAGCTACATCCCTCCAGGTTTGAACTTGCTGGCATGAATACGTAGGGTTCTGTCAAGCTGGGGCAGGGCGCTACCGACACCTATGAAAACATTCACAAAGCGTTTGGTAACGGTTCTGTATCACATGCTCAAGTGTTTCGGTGGCACAAAGACTTCGTAAATTGGGGAGAAACGGCGGAAGGTGAACCGCGATCTGGAGGCCCCGCCCCGTGCTTCCGCCAGCTCCTGATTCTCCAGATTTGTCACCCTGTTATTTCTACTTGTTCTCAAAATTAAAATCGAGAGTCAAGGGCTATCATTTTCAAACACTCGACGGCCTTCAGAAGGCTGTAACCGACGGCATCAAGACCCTAAGAGAAGCTGATTTCCAATCTTGCTATGAGGCGTGGAAAATCGCTGGGCCAAGTGGGTTGCATCAGATGGAACCTTTTTTTGTAGGGGACATTGTTGATTTAGACGAATAATCGAACAAATTATTTTGTATAAAATGAATCTCATTGCTTTGTTAACACAACTTGTATGTATAGTCTTGACACACACACACTGACTGAATCCATTTATAATTAAGTTTAAATATATCAATAAATATACGGACTACATTACTCAGGATCGCGTGGATATTTGTGTTGACTCCAAATGGGTTTCATGTTCATTTACTGCGAATACAAATCCACTGTTAACAAATATAATTAAAACCAGAAATAGTACAAGGGAAGCATTTTCATTCATTCATCAATAGCTCTACAGCACTTTGTTAGGGCCGGTAGGACTCCTTGGACGAGTGACAAGGCAAGCATAGGATACAGTATTATTTCCTTTCACTTCCTTAACCATACCGCTCTTGCTGCCTGCAGAAGGTGAAGACAGGTCTGAAGAAAGCAAGCAAGGCAAAATGTGGTATGGAGAGATAGAGCTGAAGAAGCTCAACAACGGCGAAGCTACAGAGAAAACTATATTGGGTGAAATCTCAGAGGTTTTCATCTTGGGACAATTTGAGTGATAGAACTTGTAAATAGCTCTAGTAGAATTGCGTGCTAACGTGAATATCAATACAAAAAAAAAAAAAAGTAAAGCTATCCCTGTAACAGGCCGTGAAGGCCCATAGGGTTGTGAGACGCTAAGGGTCCCACATTATCTAGACAATCGGCTCAAAGATGGTGGTAAGGTTGTCAGCCCTACGCGCCGGCCGCGCTTTACTCCCCAGGAAAATTATTTAATTAATTCCTGGTACTCATTTCTGCTAGAAGCCGAGTCGACCCCATGGCCATTGTGTGGCTGGAAGGTTTAAGTCAGCTGAAAAATCCAGTGACCTCATCGGGACTTGAACCCGCGACCTTCCGGCTTGTAGCATAGTGCCTCAACCAACTACGCTACCACGTGGCCCCCATCTTGGGGAGTATTAGAGGGAATATCAAAGAGAGTCTAAGCTATTACGAGGTACATATTATCTAACACATCTAGTCTGGTAATCAACAAATGATGATAATGCTCAACATGTTTCGGCCATTTATGGTAGGCCCTCAGAACCGGACCAGCCTTCACCATATGTGACTCCTAGTTTAGTTTTTAGTGTGCATTACAATTTTGCTCATATGTCAGGCGATAATTATTTGACGGACGCAAATGATAAGTTAGCCATTTATATTGCAATACCTCACATACTCGTTACTGAAGGAACAATTCCTCAAACAACAACGTTCATATTCCCAGCGTCTGTCGTGACGCTGTGCCCGCCACCAACTGAATCTCTCAACCCTCAGTATCAATGGTAAAAAAGGAACGAAGACCTCAGAAGAGAACTAAACATACTTAGCTAATATGGCAAAAGTATTTAATATACAGAATTAAACTAAAACTACATTTACACTGTCAACCACATAGCAGAGCTAAACAAGGACTGAGGTTCACGTTGAATGCCCAAGACAGAAATAGAGGGGGTCTGTCGCCAGTGTAACAAGAGTACACCACCTGGCAAAGATATGATAAGGTAAAGTCAACCCAGAACTTAATTAAATAAGCACTTTCGACAGGGAAGTGGAAATACTGTTCCAAGTATCTTAAAATCTGTGCTGGATTAAAGTAAGTACTGAGTTTCACGCCCCTGTCGCTTTACTCCAGGGAAAACAACCCTCGGCATTCACGATCACCGATAACAGCGAAACCACAAATCTTACCAGAAATGGCTTCCAGTGGATGAAATCCCATACGAAGGTTCAGGTACCTGAAACAAGAAATTATTATACCACTTACGAAAACATCACTGCAGTTAAATTAATGGGGGGAGACCTATATGATTAAGGATACCCATGATGCAACAGAGCAGTACATTTATAGTTATATCAACCAAGTACCCATTCCTTCGCTGGGAGGATTCCCCACACTGCAGGTTTCGTAAAATAAACTACACTGATGTAATGGCAGCCGGTCACGGTGGCCGCACAGTCTAAGGCAAGAGTTCTTGCCTTCACTCGCTCGACTGATGGGATCGTAGATTCGAATCCCACTCAATACATGAGTGTGTGTGTGTATGCGTTTATTCTGTGTTTGTTGTCTTGTGTGTAGGTAGCATGCTTGCAACGGGCTGATCACCCGAACAAGGAGTCCTACTGGTGTAAAAAAGATTACGAAACTGAAGAAGAGGGCAGGGACCCAACAAAGGGCTATAGAGCCATTGATGAATGAGTGAACGAATGATACGATGATAACGGGTATTTCTTATATTGCTCATATTACATTCTGTCTGAAACACATGAAGGCAGGCAGAGGAAAATCTGGTGTCATGTACGCGACAGAACTTACTACTAAGGAGAGAAATCTTGCTGTATAGTTACACCGTACATCATTCAAATTTATCATATTGAGATCACCTTAATTTTCGCCATCCACAGCTCTGTACTCATGATGACCAAACATTTCTTACTCAGAAGTCGCGAATAGCATCCTGACGTTACAGCCTACACACACCAAACACCGCGTAAATCATCTCAGTTTTACTCCTAACTCTTTACCGAGCTTTCCATAAGTGTTACACTTATCCCCAAACTGACCCTCCTCGACTTGGTTACACTAATAACATATCGAGAGGAGCACAAATTAATGAAACCTCTTCATTATGTAACCTTACCTCCCACGTGCTACTTCCTATCTATTTTTTCCGCCTTGGCACTACAGCCCCAGTGGGGCCTAGGCCTACCTCCATGAACTTCTCCGTTCACTTCGGTTTTTCTAGATCTTACACATACGGTAGGACTCCTTGGGCGGGTGATCAGCTCGTCGCAAGGCCTCTACCTGTACACAAACACAGAAAAACGCACACACAAAGAGGGAACATCCATGCCCTGAGTGGGATTCGAACCCACGATCTCGGTTTCCAAGCGAGCGAAGACAGTACATGCCTTAGACCGCTCGGCTACCGTGACCAAAATATTCTCATTAGCACCATGTTCTCAGATACCCTTAATTTACATTTTTCGCATAATGTGAGGGGCCAGGTTTCATATTCATAAAAACCTATAGGTAAAATTTTAGCTTCGTATATTTAATATTTTAGTAAAGGTGACAAGAAGGTTTCTGAGCCTAACGGTCGGAACTATTCTCCGAATTTAATACACTCCTAGTTACTTCATGAATTTTATTTTGAACTGTTAGTGTTCCTCTAAAATCGGACATGGTATTACATGGGAGTGGACAAAATGGGCGGTGGCGGTAGACTGTCCAACTTTTGGAGTCCTTGTGCAGTTGTCTCTTTGTCATTATGACACATTGCACACGAAATTGAGTGCTGTACCGTTATGTGCAAGAAACTTAATGTGAGGTCTGTTCCAATATACTTGCTATAAGACCTGATTCCAGTAATGTGTCCACATCATCTGGGCGGCTAAATGTCTCACCTGCAGATGAAGTATCCTGTCCGATTCAAACCGTGCGTGCAGTGGACTCCAACAAGCGAATCTGAGGAAACAAGTCACAATGCTACGTGAATCACTATACTACTGTATTCATTCTTACACACAAGCAAATGCACTCATATCAATTCCATACTTGAAGAAAGCAGTCTTTTGGGATTTGGCACCGTGTATAAGTGGTGTTAACCGACGTGAAAGCCTCAAATCTTACAATTCCATACTTAATTTACAGCAGTGGCTATGAAGAGTTCTGTAGGATTTGACGTTCTCACAGCAGTGGCTATGAAGAGTTCTGTAGGATCTGAGGAGAGGAAAGCTCCATTGCACTTTGGAGTACATACCCCTTATTCGTCTTAATATTCCTTTTAATCAAAGCTCAAATCAAATTTCATGAAGTTTCTAAACATGGTCTGTTGCACAACAACTGGTCTGATATAAATCTCAGATATTAACCACTACTATTTGCAACATTTGTGGTGACAATATACTGTTACGTATTCGGAGACCTGCGTGATTAATAAGACGGGGTTTGGATTTGATGATCGAATTTATTGGACCTTTAGACAACGTGTTAGAACAGTTCACAAATCACTGACACACTGAAAGAAAGCAGTCTTCTGGGCTTTGGCGCCGTGTATATGTGGTGTTAACCGACGTTTCGGAGGAACGTATCGCCCCCATCTTGACACACTGTCATATTCTTCGAATGGACAGTCCACGGGAACAATTCTGATTTCCAACTGAACTGAACTACACTACCCCGTTGTACTCCCTCGTATTCCATTGTAAGTCAAAGTCATAGTTCTGTTACGACCGACGGTCAGTCGGCCAGTCTGTCTTGGTGTCAAGCACCCATTTGAGACTTCAGACCATATTTTTTCTGACAGTTGCGAGTTTGTTGACTATGGCGCCCTCTCGTACGAGAGGCGGTGTCTACTCCTTTCTACTATTCCAGCTCCTCGGCACGGACTGCACGGAAAACGCCGTCTTCTGTTGTCAAGAATGCGTGTTTATTGGCCCGCTATCTAGCAATGGATGTCCTATTGTTGAGAGCGTAACTTCGGGAATATGTTTACCGAGCCGCTGTCAAGCAAAGCGCATATGCGTCACAATATAATAAATTATATGGAACAAATATCTCTGCCCAGTTCACTATTCTTTAACTTATAATGCAATGCTATGATTTCGACTGTTAGCATTTGTACTGTCGACTGTTACTGCTGTCCACAACAGATCAGAATGCGCAATACACGAACAACTCTGCCAAGGAAAAACACAAATTTATCTTTTTAATGGTAGCAGCGAAATGTGTTAGACAATTCAGAGGTCTTCAACAGATGACATGCAGAAAGGCAATGCCTATTATACAGGCCTGTTACATAATAAAACCTGTCCACCCTGTTAAAATTCGAACAGCCTATTTGTACGAACTGAATGGGCCTACACGGTGTAGGTCACACTCATAAACTACAAAAATTAATCAATGGAAAAAAAAAACATGCTGCAGCGGGGGCACGCGGTAGCGTAGTTAGTTGAGGCACTATGTTACATGAAGGAAGGTCGCGGGTTCTATTCGCGACGAGGTATTTTTTTTTTCAATTGACCTAATCCTTCCAGCAGCACTATGACCCTGGGATCGAGTCAGCCTCTAACAGAAATGAGTACCAGGAATTTTCCTGCGGTTAAATGGAGGCCGTTGCGTAAGAGCGGACAGTCCCACTTCCATCTGTGAGCCGACTGTCTAGAAATTGTGGGAGCCTCGACGTCTCACAACCCTATGGGCCTCCACGGCCTGTTACAGGGATAGCTTTGCTTTTTTTCACCATACTGTAGCCGAGTGAAATAGAAATTTCATTGTTATGATGGCTAATAGGAGATAACAGCTGTACCAGTTAATAATTCACAGTGTTGCAGAATGCACTTCATGAAACAGGGCCTTCGTGGAGCTGTTGACAATTGTCGACATTAACAATGAGTTCCTTGCTACAATATAACCTAAACCAGTTCAATGCAGCTACGATCTTTCCAGCCGACTTCATCAGAACTCATTTTGACATTGTCCTCACACGCACGTGCAAGCTTACAAAATGGCTTGCAGCCATCAAATTTTCAAGCGAAAATCTTAGAAGCATTATTGAATCTCAACGTGTACTGAGGTTCTTCTTCACCGAACCATTTGCACAATATTAAGTACAGTATCGTGAAGCTGGTCACGAAAGTTTCTCCACGAACTGACTACTTCATGGCACATGGGTGTTCTTGAAAATTTGACAGTCGCCCAGCCGGTCAAGAAATTCCCTGCCAATTATGGAAGCCAAAGATTCATTAATGCGTTCAAAAGAGACTGCCGACTGAGTATAACCTCAGCCAGATGGATCCACAGCATCATCTGATATCCTATCTCTTGCATTCATTCGTCAATAGCTGTACAGCCATCTGTTGGGCCCTAACCTCTTCTTCAGTTTCGTAATAATTTCTACACAGACGGTATGACTCTTTGGACGAATGATCAGCCCGTCGCAAGGCCGCTACCTACATATAAGGCAATACAATCACAGAAAAAAAGCATACACAGACATCCATGCCTTAAGCGGGATTTGAACCCACGATCCCAGCGTTCGAGTGAGCGAAGACAATTCATTCCTCAGACCGTGCTGCCACTGTGTTCGGCCATTATATCTCTTCACGCAATTTACGTATATTTCCTTCACTCGGGGTCTATCTTTCAGCAGAGTTCTAACGCTGAACGCCAGGAACAGCATTTATAGCGCGTTGTGTTGTTACTCCTGTCACCTGCAGAGGGCCTTTGTGGCGCTAGTGCTGTAAACAACAGACGTGTATGCAGCATAAAGATAAAAAAAAAATGCAAAGATATCCCTGTAACAGGCAGCGGAGGCTCATAGGGTTGTGAGACGTCGAGGCTTCCATATTTTCTAGACGATCGGCTCACAGATGGCGGGGAAGTCAGCCTTACGCTCCGGCCACCTTTTACACACAGGAAGACTTCTGGTACTCATTTCTGTTACTCGTAGAAGCTGAATCGACACCAGAGACACAGCGCGGCTGGAAGGATTAGGTAAATTGAAAAATCTACTGACCTCATCGGGAAATGAACCCACGACCTACCGTCTTCTAGTATAGTGCCTCAACCAACTACGCTACCGCATGCCCCAGCATAAAGGTAAGCCTACATCGGACGAGAAACTGCAACAGAAAGACGCAAAAAAAAAAATCCAGCGGAAAATATGTTCAATCCAAACTCAAGAGCACCTTTCTAACCGGTTCATACCGTGTCACGTACCTTAAGCTTATCGCATCAAGTGCCGCAGGTTAATTTCTGCTGTGAACAGGTTACATACACCATAAAATGAGTTTCTTCAGTGTACGTGTTGGTTTGGCTATGGAGTACAGGCCTTTAATGTGATTTATAGGTTTGCTGGCGCCAGAGTACAGTGGTAGATAGGCCTACAGCAGCAACCATCGAGGTCATTATCATTTCGTGATCGAAAACTGACTATCCAGCTAGTATTGTAGCGTAACGTGTGCTTGCACCATGTTGTCTGGTCTGTTGATTGAACCCGACGTTGACAAACCGCCTGTCTTCTGAGTCCATCAACACGGGTTTTAAATTCATTACATCATACAGGATGAAATCACGAACTGCTGCAACCTTGACGCTGGGAGAGCAACATTATCGCAATTGGAAACCAGTGTTCTTCGATTTTATTATTTAAATCACGTATCACAAGAGTGGGCGTATTATTGAGAAGTTCTACAGTTTACGTTTTTATTTTTCCAGCAAGTTGTGTGTGGCTGTCAGTCCGTATCCTAATTCAGAAACTGTACTATTATACATATCCAATAACACATTTTACTTACTTCTTGCGTGGGATTCGAACCCATAATCCCGGCTTCCGAGCGAGCGAAGACAGTATATGCCTTAGACCGCTCGGCTACCGTGACCGGGTTAACAGACTTGGAGACGCCGATCACAGTGGCCGCGTGGTCTAAGATATGAACCGTCTTCGCCCGCTCGAACACTGCGATCGTGGGCTCGAATCCCACTCGAGACATGGAGTCTGTGTGTGTTTATTCTGTATTTGTGTTGTTCTGTGTGTAGGTAGCGGCTTTGCGACGGGCTGATCACTCGTCCGAGGAGTCCTACCGTCTGTGAAAAGGTTACAAAACTGAAGAAGTGGCCAGGACCTAACAAAGAGTTGTAGAGCCATTAACAAATGAATGAATGATACAATGGTAACGGATATTTCTTATATGTCGTTCACTGGAAAACATGAAATCTTTACATGGGCTATTTTAAAAGGAAACTTCAAAATAACAGCGTGGCAACCGTTATACATATGTTTATTTGAAACTAAATTGTAAATCATCGTAATTTGCAAATATATTTATAACATAAGGCCCTTATACCAAGCAAATATTATGCCGTACAGACATCTACAAATAAGTATGCAACATTCGTGTCTTGCTTTGCTACATTTTGGTTGAAGTGAGATCACGCCATTCTACAAGGCTGGATGTGGGGATTCGATTCCTAGCAGGGGAAAGAAATTTTTCTCTACTCCAAAACGTCCACACCGGCTCTGGGGCCCATTCAGCAGCGAATCCAATGGGTACATGGGGCGATTTCTCTTGGAGTACAGCGATCGGAGCGTGAAGCTAATCACTCGCCTCCATCTACTGCCGAGGTCAAGAATGGTGGAGCTATACCTCCACTCTCCCATACGTCTTACTGGCATGGTTGTTAACTGATAAGCAGACGGCCATACCTTTACCTTACAAAGGCGGAAAGAACTTGAATTCGTGCATACAGGAAAGAAATAAAAATGAAGGCGAAGAAAAGAACTTCAGTTAAATATTCACCTTGGGGATGAAACCGGAGAAATTAAAACATTTTAAAATTGTATAAATTGTACTTCTTCGTAACCTTAAACTGGTGTTCGTTCGTTCATTCATTCAGCAATGGCTCTACAGCCCTTCCTTGGGCTGTGGCAGCTTTTTCAGTTTCTTAATCTATACACTATCGGT